TATCAAGAGGAAATATCAGTGATACAACAGATGACTTCATTCTTTGGTTCTTATATTTTTGGTGATTGAAAATACATAAATCTTGAATTAAAATTATTTTTGCTTTGAAGTCTTGAACCTAAATGAATATAACAACTGACATTTTTTGCTAACTAACATGATAAGAGCAAGTAAGAGAATATATGTTTTTCTCTGATTGATTATCAATTTTGCAGACACATATAAATCAGCAAAGTATTACTTTTCCTATCTAGGCAGAAAAGTGAGGACTTTCCTGCCTAGGCAGCAAAATTATCTCAATGGGAATAAAACATTTTACATTTTCTGACAAAAATCATTCATTAGCAATTATTATTACATAATACTTTTAACAAGAATATTTTTAGTTGTTATTAACATAATAGTAAAATTACTACAAATTTGAATAAATAGGCCTCAGATATCATTCTCTTCTCCTGAATTTCTTCACAAATTAATTCATCACTACAGGAAAAATAAAAAGATTGTGAGAATTGTAATAATTTGCACATAAAATATACTACATATATCAGTAATACCAGTCTCAGAGAAATAACTATTATTGTCTAAAATACTTGAATTTTTTTGAAAAAAACTTAGGATATGGGACCAAAACTGGCTCAATACAGTACAAAGTATAAAATCCTAATTATCACAGTTTTGCATCATTATAAATGAATTGTATCAAATTAAATATAAAATCAATTAATAATAGGTCTTACAAAATTATAACATGAGAATATAAAATATTCCACATCACAATGAATCCATAAAATTAAAGAACTGAATAATCTGGACCTCCATGAGGACATTTTGTTCTGATATTGAACAGGTGACAAACAATATGCATTTCCATAATAAACCACATCACTTCAAAATTGGATTTTGTACATTAACTATTCCACAAGCTATGATGATTATGTAATCAAGCAAATGTAATAGTTTGTGATTTATGCCAGAGTGAAGTTTCAACATTCGAAATTCCCTCAAACGTCGTATTACTCTCTCAATGTGGATACGTAAAGCAGCAATTCTTTTTCCTTCTTTCACTTCCTCCTTGGAAGGTTTCTCTGCTGTACTTACACTTGGTGGTCTTATAAGAAAACAATTTTTTTTAGCTAAAATGCTAGCAATTTGTTTAAAACCACGATCAGCCATTACATGAGCATGATTTGGCAAAACATTCATGAATCCAGATTCCTCAATCATTATTTTATCAGTGGCTCTACCACCAAACCCAGGTGACATATAATTTATTAACCCATGTGGTGTTGCTGAAATAAGATATTTGACAGTATTGCAATGTTTATATTGTGACCACGTTTGGGCTTGTTTTTCTGCATCTGATGATATATCAATTTCAATTTCCAGGCAATCTATTATTGATTGAACTTTTCTATATCTGTACCTGAATGGTAAGGGTAAGTGTGCTCGAATTTGGTAGGCAGATTGCCAAGTTATGAAATTTTTGAAAATACTGGCCAATATTGGAACAGTCTTATTGAAAATCTTTGAAACATATGATTTTGAGATTGAAAAATCATCTGCAATTCTCACATTAGCATCATTTAATCTTATTTTTTTTAGACAAACTAAAATATCAAGTGAGGAAATGTTAACATATTTTGTGATTATGTCTATTAGAAAATAGGTTTCAGGTGGTAATCCTAAATAAAACCTGCTCATTTTCCTCAATGATTCAGTTCGAGAAATATTTCCTTCACAATTTAAATCAGAATCTGTGCCACCAGAGGTATTCTCATTATTTGAGGATGGTATGAAGCTAGAGCATTCATCCTTGGAACTTGATAGACTAGATTCACTTGTTTCACATTCTTTAGATACTTTTGTCAATGGCTCAGCAGGCCTAGTTGAGGTACCACAAGTTCGTGTACCCACTGCTGTAGTTGTTCCAACACTCCTTCTTTTAGGTTTGATGGCACATTTAATTTTTTTATGGACATATTCACATTTCTGCTTCATATTAGGCCTATAATAATGAGAATCAGAATTCACCTCTCTGACCCCATCTTCTGCTTCTGTCTTACTAGTGAAAACTTGTTCTTTCCCTTGGATGGAAACAAATGTACCAGAAGGAGACTCCACTTCAGAATATGCCTGCCCTGTTACTATTATAGTAGAACTGTGATGAACTACTGATGGAATTTCAGAAGATGTAGATGGCTCATCAAAACAGACTCTTCTCTTTACTCCTTCTGTCAAATTCTTCACTGCCTCCAACTATCTTTTTCTTGAAGAAAGAGTCAACTGTGATGCAGTTCGCCCATCAAGTTCACTCTCATTAATAAATTTATGAGGAACAGCCTCTTTCTTCATATGGACTCTGGATCCTATCAATTTGAATTGCATCCAGTTTTCCATATCCTTCTCCAACTGAAAAATTAAAACAATCATTTTCTTTTCCACAGATCAACTTATTTACTTACATCGAAATGATCGTCACAACAATACATATCCTTGGAAGTCGTAAAAGTTCTATTCACAGCAGAAAACCATCTCATTCTGATGTCTTTGTTGTTGGGCATCAAAATAAACAGTTTATTTGTGCAACTTTCACTGGTGTTCGAACATGTCGGTACAAAGCACTTTTTGAAAGGCATTCTCAACAGGAAATCAACAAGAAAACTTGGAAAAATCCGGAAAAATAAAGTAAAAACAATAACTAAAACACAACACACAATAAGGCTAACCTCAAAATGTTCACTCTGACAGAAACTGAAGAACACGGATTCACGGAACACTCGGAGCAAGCTCGGAACTAACAGTTGCAGAATAATACATGACATGAAACAAGTATCCTATGATTGGTCAGCTCAAGGAGAATAGGCGTGTTGGGAGTAGTACGTCACACCAGTTACACCAATGAATAGAAACCATTCAAATGTCGCAAGGAGTGTGGTTTTTTCAAATGAACATATCTTAATTAATTTTTTTTATAGTCCTAGTATGGAAGAAAAAAATCGAAATTATATGTACTGGTAGTTTTTAGGTATAGAGCACACGATGATGTCGTTTTAAAAAATCAGTGGTCTCCCCCATTAGTTTTTAATAATGATTAATGTATAAAAACATGCATGAAAACGAAATAATATGAAATAATATATTCGTATTGAAAATGAGCGGAATCGGAAAATGGGAAATTAGGGTTTTCTGGTTTTTTTCCACTTTTTTTCGAGTTTTACGAGAAACACGGAGGATACCTCTGAGTATCGTTACAGAGCCTATTGAAATTCAGAAAAATCGGAAAATTCCTTATGGGTTTTTCCAGATGATTTTCCCGAAAGTCACAAATTTCAAAAAATTCGTATCTACGTAACCGAGATATTCAGAAAACAAAAATATGAGAATTTAGGGCTTGAACTACTGAACAAACTTTATTGAAACTATTTTTCCGAAAATTGTTGAGAAAGTTGAGAAAAAAGCGAATTGTAGAAAATTTTTATTTTTTGTGCTGCTTTCATAATATATCAAAAAATGTCAGAAGTACTTTTTTTGATGTACTCGAAGAGTTCTACGAAAAAGTTCATGTATATTTTCCTATCATTTCAAGAGTATACGAGTTATTTCAAGAAGTGTTAGAAATTGATGTGAAAAATTACCAGTTGGAATTTCGATTATGTCAAAAATCTTGAGAACCAATAGATATAGAGAAAAAATTTAATATGAAATTTTCTGTTACTCTTGATAACGTCTAATTTTGTATCTATTCCGCATAACAATAAAATTATACGAAAATGAAGAAAATATCTTGAGAACGGATCGAAATATGTGAAAAGTGCTTCAAGGAGGTGTATCTTTCAAGAAGTTGGATACTTTTAGGCGGGGAATCGCAGCGTTGCATCTACCACAGTAATTGTGGTAATTTTTCAGCTAGGGTTATAATACGCATATTTTTCGTGCTGATTTCATAATTTCCCTCCAGAAATCTTGGAAACTGAGGGAAATATAAAAAAATGTCGAGTACTTTTTGGTTGTAAAAGAGTTCTACAGGAAAGTTCATATATATCTTTCTCTAATTGCAAAGAGTATACGAGTTATTTTAAAAAGTGTACGAGATTGATGTGAAAAACTACCAGTTGAAATTCCGATCAGGTCGAAAATCTCGAGAACCAAGATATAGGAAAGAAGTTTATATCAAATTTTCTGTCTCTCTTGATGAGGTCAACAAAAAATATTCGAAACGTTTTTCTTCAAAGCCGCTATTTGCAGAGATATATATCGGAAATTGTATAGGCGAGGTCAAATTTTGCCTATTTTTGTATCTTTTCCGTATAACAAATATTAATCGAAAATGAAGGGCTTCGAATATCTCGAGAAAATGTACTTCAGGAGGTATATATTTCAAGGAGTCTGAAACTTTCAGGCGGGGATCGCAGCGTTGTATTTACGCATTAAAGATGGTAACTTTCCAACTAGTTAATACCTAAAATCGTTCTTCAAGTGAATACCTCGGTAAGAATCCTACTTCTATTATTTTATATCATTTTGTTTTTCATAAATGTTTTATACGTTCATCATTATGACAACTCGGTAAGAATCCAATTTTTATTAAGTATTTTATATTATTTTGTTTTCCTGAATGTTTTATACATTTACCATCATCAACAACTAATCCAACTTTCTTTTTCAGAATTCCCTTTTTACCTTTTTATTCTTTTTTCCTTCAATATTTACTTTATTCATTTATCCTACAGCTAGGATTCAATCCTTTTTTAGACAATGTGAGTCCTAAACCACTCCATTCAAACAGATACATTGTCATGCACTTTCATAGATTTAATGTATTCACCATATATTTTGTTGAAGCTGTATCGGCAGCAATCTCTCGTCAAATTGTTGAAAATCCTGCAAACATTTCAGGGGTAAATCCGGCATAAGTTCTTCCTCTGGAGGGATGACCGATTGTTCATTGGATTTTCGTGAATTTCTCAACAATTCAGTCAGTATTATTGAGTGCTGGTCGACGTTTTCATTGAGTTTTGTCAAACAGCTCAAAACAGTTCTCTCAAATTCTGAAAATATTGTATATTTATTTGAGGAGCATTTAAAGGGCATTAGTCAGATAACTGATTCGAATACAGAGCAAAATGAGAAGAAGATCATTAAGAAACATGATTTATTGATTATTAATTAAGGTACAGAAGTGATTTCGGCCGTGCAACCGTAGTTTCTAGATAGTGTTGCCGGGCCCGCACTGTTTTCTGATAGCGTTAACTGACTTATGCGGGCTCTGTATATAAATTATATACCGTTCATAAAGTAGTAGATAAATTTATTACATCTTAAACTGATATTAAAAGAATATTTTTGTTAACCTTTTTATTTTATTATTATTTTAATTTTATTATAGTATCACTGTAAGATAACAACGTCATCGGTATACTTTTTAAATGAAACAGTATATTTTTCCATATATGATCAGATTAAAAAAAACTGATTCGAAAAAGTTTTAACCGTCAACTTAGTTGTAAAGCAACCCTCGAAAGTATGAGACTTGTGTGAGTTAAAAGGAAGGACGGAACCTTAGCCTTTTAAGTGTCATCCGAAGCACTACTCGGCTGGTAACTGTGGAGAGCCCTAGGGATTGATATCTAGGTACCAAGAATGTTCGGTTTGTCACCTATCTCCTCCCGCTAAACTATAATACTGAAAACTAAATTTCAATAGCCACCGCCGGAAATCGAACCCGGGCTCTCTGGGCATTAGCCGGCGCCAACAAGACCTGAGATTCATCAAACGTTTGGCTAAGATATAGGCTAAAAACCTCCTCGTATATCCAATAAGTGCGACAGAGATTTTCAACCCTATTCTCAGTCATTAGACATATGAGAAAGTTTTTTGGCCATATCTTTGCAACCTTTTGATATAATCCTATGAAACCATGCATCGCTGAATCCATAATGATGATCAAACCAAATATGGAAAAATATACTGGGTTTTTTAAAATATTCTCGGTTTATAGAAACAAATATTTTTGTATATATTTGTTTCTATAAACATTATCAAAAGTTGGCTATTTTAGATGCTTTTCCAATGTCAAAAAAATATTTTATAGCACTACTAAAGCAGAGGAGAGGACAAACATAAATACACACTTATATACCCTGAGAGTTGCTGAACATTTTGTAACCAAATGTATAAAATATGTTGGTATGATGACAAACATTTTAGTCTTAAACTAACGTTATCCCGGAACCAATAAAAAAGTGTTTAAAAGTGTTTTAACCGCCAACTAAGTTGCAAAGCATCCCTCTAAAGTCTGAGAGTTGTGTGAGTTAAAAGGTCAATAATTATAAATAGGACTACCAATATACAGGGTGGTCCGGTTTTTAATACCAAAAATTCAACAGTGTGTTCTCTGACTTATTTCGAGATGAAAAGTTCATATAAACATGTCGCACACCTAGATCAAAACTGTAGAAACTCAAAAAAACACTTTTTTCAGGAAAGTCGAAAAACTTATTACCTTGTTACAATGTGTGATAGAAGTTTATTTTTTTGTTCAATGAATTAGTGTAGCTTATTGGAGAAAGTCTGGATTAAACATTTCATACAAATTGCCTGAACAAGTTGAAAATGGGAATTTTCGAGTTACTACAGTCCTGTTTGCCATATTTCAGTTATTTTTCTTCATTATTCAGACTTGAAACGGTTTTGTTAATTTATTTTGACTTGATTCACTTTCAACTTGGAAAAATGCATTACTACCAATGCAAAAAAAGTGTTGTTAATTAATTTTGTTGGGTTGAATGATGGAACGATGGTTTCATTATGATAGTGTTCATTAACTATGACATCAGGTACAAAATAAAAATTCCAATTCCTCAATAAACAGTGAAACAAATAATTATAAACTCAAATCATACGTCTAAGGTACCTACGTATATTGAATGAACAAACACATTCTCACAATCTCTTTTCAAATTAGAACATAGCAAATCCTAACTAACAGAAAATAACTAGGAAATACTCAAAGTGAAAAATAAATCTTCAATGGCACTCATTAGATCAACATTACCAAAATCACGGTCAGAACATCCAAAAAAAGTAATACTGATTGATCATTTTCATTGTTAAGTACCTATCATGTTAGTCGACCATTGGATGTGTATTGTCATGCCCTAACACATTTTTAAAATAGGAATCATAGTACTGTCTTGGAATAACATTCTTATCAATCAGTTCTTGGATATCCTTTTTCTTGGCATCAGATAACGCAATTTTTTCTGTGTATGCTCGTGTCAAATCGAAGGAAATGAAGGACTGATTTGCAGCTCTTCTCTTGCGTACATGAGTTTTTTTGAATGTTTGGTCTGTGAATGAAGTTTTATAGAAAAATTCCTCAGGATGCTCTTTTTCTACTCTGAGAATTTTGATATCATGCCATTTAACTTGGTTCCTGTCTTCATCTATACTGAAATTATTGCCCCATGACTCTTGCAATGCTTTGACGTCGTAAAATTTGTCGTGTGTCATCTCTACAACATTGTAGGGACGTCCTGTCTTCTTGGCTGTCCGAATCAAAGTTGAATAAGTTTGCGGTGAGTAGATCGGTCCTGCTTTCAAGTGTCGCTTGATTTGTTTCCCAATGACACTATGTACATTGTCACCTTCATTTTGAGAGTGACCGCGTATCAGGAACTTATGTGTAATTGATTTGACATTCATGTTGATAACAGCGTAAGCATAAACAGATAACAGGTATTTGTTTTTCTGTTGTCCACAACAATTATCTGAGTAGAAAATTATTTCAATTCCATTTTCGGGATTTCGCTCCGATTGAGCTTTGATGTAGTCAAGTATGCAGCTACCAATTTCCACAGCTCCTCTTGCTCCTTCTGTCTCATCCCAAAAGTAACAAACTACGTTCTTTACTTCCAAATCACTGACAGTAAAGTTCAGGCAGTTTATCCTAGACTTATAGAAAAAAAGCAGAACTTGTCCTTTTGGCACCTGCATAACTGCTTGCAAATCGTAAACTGCAACGATGGTACCATCTGTCCTGTTCTTGTCATTATCTTTCTCTATCCTTGCCAAAGTCTTTTCTTTAAGGTGTTGTTCGTAGTTCTGGTATAGTTTTTCTTTTCCTGTTTCATCTGCATTTTTATAACTCTCGCGAAGATCGCACTGGTCTTTTTTTGGTATAAAGAAAGAAATATTAAAATCAGTATTGAATATTCTGTTGAATGTTGATGTTGTAGCATAAGACAAGCCGTTGTTTTCACGTAGTATTTTATAATCCCGGTATAAATCAGCAAGAGATTTATCACTGCAAATGAACTCTCTTGTTGTTTGAGCTCTTAGGTAGTGTGATTCAATTCTGGGTATAGAATTTATGAAATCTATAACACTACGTCTGACTTGTGGATCAATAGTTGGTTGATTCCCATGTTTCCCTCTCAATTTGCCTTCTATCACACCTGATTCAGATTTTTTGGAGAGTGCGGTTTTGATAACTCTGTCATTTAAGTCAAGAGTGGATTTGAAGAATGCTTTACACACTCTTATTCTTGTTCCATCGCTCTCAAAATAAAATGCCGTATTTAGAGCTCTAAAATTTTGTGTGCTAGAGTACCTGTACTTTGGTTTGATTTCTTGTGAGTGACGTACTATAAACTCTCTCTGTCTCTGAAGATCAGCTAATTCCCAGTAGGCACTGAAAACTTTTTGCCTCGATGGTTCATCAAAATTGCTTTTGCAACTTAGCCGACACTTGGCTCCACAAGGCGGACGAAGTTTTCTTTCTGGCACATGTTTCTTCGATTTAGTCAAAGAATTGTAAGCTCTGCCAGAATTTCTCAATGTTTTTGAAACTTTCGTTTTCCACGTTGATGGATTTCTCGCTCTCTTCCTCCCTTTCTTAACTTCTGTGACAGGATTTTGGTCCTGATTTTCTACAATCGTAGAATTATCTTCGATGTTGAGTCGATGATCATCAAGGTGGACTGCATTATTATTTTCAGTGTCGGTATCAGAACAGCTGCTGTCGCTGGATGAACTGTTGGATGAACTGCTGGAACTACTGCTGCCTGAAGAAGGAGAGATAGGAGAAAATATAACCTTAGATGGTCCAGGTTCATCAGGAGAAATCACAAAATTTGGATCCGCATCAGAATCATCAAAATCACTCTCGTCGCTATGTATTGGTGAAATGTAGTAATCGGTTCGTTTGTTTTTCAGCTGTGCCACACTGGAAGTGCTTGTGCTTGATTGTTGATTCGACTGATCAGTCGAAATTGTTAAGTCTCTCTGCTCTGATATAGCTGCTTGCAAGTTCTCGTTTTGAGATGGTATATTGGGACTGGCATTTTCTTCATCTATTTTTCTCACCATATTGACTAATGATAATCCACGCCGATTCATTTTTCTGTAACAATAAAATATTTCAGTGTGCCTACTCTGATTTAACATCAAAAGTGTATCAACTCGAAAATAACCACTTCTAGTAACTACCAATAATCTTTGAAAAGTCGTGATAAGAATTCTGACTCAACTCTAAAAATGTATGATAGTCTGCTATGAAAAGAGAAGTTGCTTGAGGTTTTTCTAGAAATAATGGGGAAGAAATAATGACTCAACAAAACTGATGTAACTATAAATATCCAAAGATTTTCATCAAAACCGAAATAAGTCAAGATGAACATAAAATTTTCACTTACCTGGGCAAATGAAACTGTTCCAACTCGGAATTCAGAATGGGATTTTCGTCGATTTGGTCGAGATTCGTCACCAATACTGTAGCAACTTCAATTAATACACAAGAAATTCACGATATATTTCACCAAAACAGTTGTAACTCAAAATAAAATAGTTTTGTACTACAAAACTACGTGCACTCCTGTTGATGTCCAGACAGAAACTGAGATTGCAACCGTTTTGGTGGGGCCGTCATTGACATGATTCATTCACCAAAAACTAACTAAAACACCATCTATCGGAGACTTCTTGAGATATCGATGAATCTGTTTTATTGGCACATGCAACGTCTTATGTAGATTCTGAATGAATAACTAACTCAAAAATCAAGATTTTTGAGTTGCTACAGTTTAGATATAGGTGTGCGATGTGTCCGCAAATTTTTCATTTCGGAGATACAGGGTGTTGAAGTTGAAATTAAATTCTCAAATATTTTGAATAACTTTTGCAAAAAATTGAATTTTTGAACAAAATTTGGTGTACAGGGCTTTTTTTGGATGAGAAATCCAAATTTGGTATCGATTTTTATGTACCACTCAGAGGGCGCGCTGCGTACGCTATCATTTATCATTTTAATTTGCCCTTACTTTTTTGACAGTAAACTTTTGGGATTTTTTTTATCAAATTCTCTCGTTTTTGAGGAATTTGCAAATTTCTGCGTCGATGTAGGTTATATGGTCACTTTGGCGCCAGATGAAGTTGCTCAGAACTTCACGAAAACTGAGAATGCGATAGATTTTGGTAAAATAAACATATTTTTTTCTACAGAGATGTATCGAGAAATAATTAATTCTCAAGATACAAGAGATGTTGAAAAATCGATATTTTAAAAAAACTCAACATCCTGTATTTTGAGATCGAATCATTTCTCGATGCATCTTGATGAGAGAATAGTTGTTTATTCAAAAATTTTTAAATTTCTCAAAAATGGTTGTCCCTACCCTTGTTAAGTAAGTATACTCTTTTCCCTCAGAAAAGATGAGGGAATGAGAATTTGATAAAAAAAGTCCCAAAAGTCTACTGTCAAAAAACTTAGGGCAAATTATGTGAAAAATGATAGCGTACGCAGCGCCCTCTGAGTGCTACATAAAAATAAATACCAAATTTGGATTTCTCACCTTAAAAAAGCCCTGTACACTGAATTTTGTTAAAAAATTTCATTTTTTGCAAAAGTTATTAAAAAAATTTGAAAATTTAATTTCAAGTTCAACACCCTGTATCTCCGAAACGAAACATTTGCGGACACATGTTTATATGAACTTTTTATCTCGAAATGAGTCAGAGAACGCACTGTTGAATTTTTTGTATTGAAGCCGGACCACTCTGTATAAAGCACACTTTGAGAAAATGTGTATTGTATGTATTTACAAACTCACATGGGTATTACCCTAATCAATTTTCTTAACTGAAAATTATTTGTGGAATTATTTGATCACAACGGAAGATCATTCTCAATGAGTGTTTGTAGAAAAAATATTGTATGATTCCCAAACTGAAATGATTTTATTTTGTTTGTGGGATTGCTCTACTGACCAATGCATATTTTATATGTTTATTATTGTGTATCCTAAAAAGATGTTAGGTAAAGGCGGCTCGGTGGTCGAGAGCGTTAAGGCGCTGAGTTCGTATGGGGATTCCCACCGAGACCTAGGTTCGAATCCTAGTTAGGCCATGGATGTTTGTGTTTGTATGTATATCTAACCCCGCACAAGTTTTCGACTTAAGGGGCGTTTGGTCCCAGTGCTGGGACTAACGAGGTATGCAATTGCGAAAAAAAAAGATTAATGATGTATTGAAATTATCTTGTTTGTTTTTCACTCTGGTTTCTCAGGACTGCCAATAACTAACTAGAATCAATACTTATGAATAATGAATGAATCATTGAATAAAATCAGCTTAATTAGCTCAAACAAGTTACTATTTATGTTAGGTTTGGAAATCCAACTCCAACACTCATTTCACTCCAAACCATAGAGTTCTGCGAGTTGTAAGGAGTAAATGGAGTTGGATGTCCAAACGTAAAGTTGGTATATATAAGACAGCTTCAGCATCTCTTAGATACCTGGATTGACACTGGAAGACATTGTCTCTGATATAACAGAGTTTCTTGAAGATGTAGATATAGGGGAGGATGATTCTTGTCGTCCCACATTACTTAATCCTAGTGATGAAGTACATCTCAGATCACTTCTAGGACTTGAGGAGGCTGATTGTCCACCACCAGAATCGTTTGATTTTGGTGATAACGCTGTGGTAATTGTTCCTATGGTGTGCATTTTTTTTTGGGGGGGGGGGGGGCGAATCGTCCGTTGAGTCAGAGCTACAGTCTTTATCCTGGAATAATTTTCTGTTTAAATTTCTTGTGCTTGAATTGAAACATTCATTTTCCTTCGTTAGTTCTTGAAGCATATCTTCGACAGCTTTTTCTGCTCTATCATACGAGTCTGCAAAAATAATAAAACCTCAGTAATTGATGATATTCTTCTCATCAATGAATTACCTACCTGTTTTCAAGTGGACTTTGAACACCTCATATATCGACCAAGACTTTTTATATGGACTTTTTTTCTTGACGAACTCATCAAATGTGGACGTCTGCCTAATTCTGTTGGGCCAGTAGAATTTCTTTTCATTTTTTGTCAACCATATTAATGGGACAATGGAAATCTCTCTAGATGTTCCATCATCATGAACGCCCATAAATTCCACCACAGCAAACATGATTGTTCCTTCATAAATGCAAATACATCATTGTGTTGATAAAATATATTGTAAATGAATTGTTTACAGGTTCAAACAACAAGAAGGTGTTTTCTGTGTTTCAGAACAGGCTGCCAATGGAAGGTTTGAAAGTTATTGTTGCAAAACTTCTAAAATAAAAAAGGCATAATGTTTGAGCATGTCCAAATATAGTTCATATATATACTAACAAACTTGTTAAGTCATTTTTCTATATGAAGGACACAAGTTGGGGCTTCGAACATATACTATACCTTGATGAGAAGATATGTATTGTTTACCAGTCTGAAAGGCATACTATCAGCTGCCGGTCTATTACCGAAAAATTGAACTCATACCTTATTATGAGAAAAATCGATTAGAAAATCCTATCACATGTCTAACTAATATAAATGACAGAATGACAATAAAAGTCTCCCTTGGTCTATTTTGTTTCTTTATGAGTGACTTTTAAAAAAAGAATTATCGTGTATTGAAAATCAATGGGAAATTAAAGGAAATGTTACAAATCCGTTCTTATAGGGAATCCTGACACATTTGCATAATAGGTTTGAAACGTAAAAAATACTCAATTCAGATGAATTGATATTTTCCGTGTGAAAATCATAATGAAAACGAAATACAACTCCTTCAAGAATAATTTCTTGCTCATCCAGGTAGTGTAAAGCTTTAATTATACATACTTATTTGTTCTTCAATAAGACACAATTATTGTGTCTCTTTGTAGATATACAGTAATCATGAAATTCCAATCGTCCACAACTGAATGAAACCAATTTATTATAAATATCATAGTTCTCTTTGAAAATACTTTTTGGTAGGTACACGGTACCTTATATTATATTTTGTATTTCTCAACTTGGAACAGCTTTCCAGCTCTTCCACCCTCCTATGAATTTGTTGTAAACAAAATTTCTTTGAACGAACTCTATTTTTCAGTGACCCCAAATAATTCTCAAATGAAAAGCAAGAAAAATGGTTGATGGTTCCATAAACCTGCACTTCATCACATAAATGAGCTAAATTATGAACATTATATACGACAAAATCATAACCGTATATTTTCGATGCTTCCATAACAAATTGTTCTAGGCATTTTTCAGCAATATTAAAGTATTGTTCCATGAATGAAGAATCACTCAAAATGAGGACAGAAATATGAAGTTATAAAAAATGATTATATTTTTGATTGCTCAAAATATTTTTCAATAGAACTGGCCCAGTATACAAGACAAATAAACGAAATTCAGTCGCGTTCCACCGTCATATTCCTTTGAATGATCGCGGATTCCGAGAAAACTCAGAATGGATGTATGACTTAAAATCACTTGTTTTATTGATTTCAGAGAGCATTTTCTGGGAAAATTCATGAGGTTTGGGACCTTCTATGAAGTAATTCAGTAATAATCTCTTAACTACTCCTTAAATAATTAGATGCATTAGATCAAGAACAATTTGAGTAACCATGTTGATACCGATATCTAAGAGAAGTGACTTTCATTTTATATGATCACTTCTATCATTGAAAAAATTTAAATCCTTTCTTAGAGCATAAGAATTAGGTGATTCTTGAGCATAGTTAATTCTTCTGTTTTCATACTTGCCAACAATCGTACACTTCTCACAACCATGTTTGCCAGTATGACCTACAGTTTGTTTGATATAAGATCTTGCAGGGGCATCGCAAATGAAACATGAAATAGTAATATTGAACTTCCTATTATTGAAAATGCATTCTTGATTTTTCAGAGTATTGACTTCGTCAATGAAAACTTTCAAAAAAACTTATTGGGTCTGGTTTACCACGCCCACAAAATATTGCTATAGCAAATGGACTATCATCAACTAGATCTTTGCTCAAACCAAGTATGGGATAAAATTCTATTCCACTGCTTTCAAATAAAGGTATTCCATCAATATTAATTTGTAGTGAAATTTTGTTACAACTGGTTTTAATTCCTTGTTGAATTTTGTGTGATATTTTATTCAGTATTCCAAAATAATGCATTTCCCCATTATTCAATTTCATTGTAGATTTTATTCGGGGTGTTTTCATCAGAGTTCGACTATCAAGTGGAAGAAACTTCAAAAATGGATTTAACAGCTTCAATAATTTAGTAACAGAATTTGAAGAAATATTTTCTGATGCAGCCCAATATCGAAGATCATTTTTTAAAATAGCATTTTTGTCAATAATTTCTCCTTCAGAGGTCTGTGAGAATGCTTGGATGAATGGACTGATGGCTTCAGTCAAAGTATTGCCAGAATATTCAGTGACTACTGATGTACTACCTGTATTAATGGAAACAATATCAGTTATTAAATCTGATACTTCTACATTTTCATGCGAGTTTGCGAAAGTAACGTCTTCATTATAATTGTCAGTTTTCGCTGAAAAACTATCAGTTATTGAATATTGACGCTCAGGTTTATCTATTGAATTTAAAGTTTCACTTAAGTTGGCTTCAGACCGCCGTTGGATTTGTCTTCTACTCAATACTTTTTTATTCATTCAAAACTATATATATTTGAAAATCAACAATAATGTATTTATATTAATGCATCTATTCTTCCTACCTAAAAATGAATATCTATATTCTATAAGTATGATTTACATTATCAGTAATTCAGTTTTTCAGAACCAACGAAAAAATACGAAGGCAACTTAAAAATCAAGGTCCTTCTACGACTTTGTTATTCTCATTCAACTTTTATATAGTGTATTTTGAAATAAATAAATTTGTATAAAAGTTGCCACAAGAAATGGATGTGGCAATACCCATAATCATTATTGAACTACACTACACACACACTAATAAAATGTTCTGAATAGAGATTTGGTACATCTAGGATAAAAATATCACCTAGTAAAGTGATTTGATGAATGTTGATACTGGTAATTTTCAGTGGTCAAATCACCAGAGCGAGGTCAAGTACATGAGAAAGTATTCATACACAAATCACAATATATCTTGAAAAATATGCTTGAAGAACTAGTACAGGGTGGGCCAAATTCTATGGTATTTGGGTTTTCTCTGAAAGTATGAGTGCTATACTGATGTAGGTAGTCTGATATGATTTTCGAGTATAAAAAAAATGATGCAAACTGCGATCGCCTTTTTCGACAGCCTATACCTATATTATTTCATATTTGGTGAGGGATTGTCATTACAAATCCAGTGATACCAGGTTTGATGTGGATATGTCAAACGGTTGCCAAGATATGACCTCCATTAAGCTAGCAGAACCAGCTCGGAATTTTTAAATTTTTGTTCCGCAATAATTTGAGGCTAATTTATTACCATATTTCCTAATTAATTGCTCTTCGATTTAAACGGAAAAACGTGGGTTCTGCCAGCTTTACGTTGAGCTAGCAGAACCACTTTTTAACTAAAACCTTTATCAAGATTATAAATACGTCAAAATTCAAGGCTCATTTAAGGCTCCAGCCCTGGCCTATCGCCGATTTTTTTAGGACATCGCTTTATGCCAGAAATCGTGGGTTCTGCTAGCTTGAAAATCTCTTTTATTTCGATCATTCAGTTTTCCAACAGCAATGTTCGAAAAAAGACACAATCTGCTTCAACAATTTGAAAATATCTAAACAAGAAAAGGGGGTTCATGGTGGATCACTCTGTAAATAATTATTAAGCCTGGTCCTGGGGTGCTTTTCTTGACCGTTCGTAAACGAACGTGTACTCACACTCTGATGTTCCTTGCATGTCGTCGACATGCTGAGATAAAATCGGACTGTTGGGGCTGTCAGGGTTCATTATTTTATCTCGAAAATAATGCTAAGTATTTTTGCCACGACTACAAAGCCAAACTCAGGGAATAATTGACAGCAGTCCGACCCTCCCGAAAGTTTATAGTTCCGAATAGGCCCCAATTTCCTACAAACAAGGAAAGGATACTATAGCCCACCTTACAGCTGACTGTGAGGTAAATCCTAACCTCACAGGACAATTCCCACAATACTACCCCTGCCTAAGGTTCCTAACTTCCTAGAAGATAGCTAATCTTAATACTAGAGCTGCTAAGCTTCCGTCAAACCCGCCCAGACCACCACGTCGGCGTTGCACCGGGTACTGGGGGTTCCTTATCGCCTAGTCCTATCAAGGCTGAAGGCCTCTAAGTCCCTAAAATTATCCTGCCCTAATTCCCGACGCGAACCGTGTGTCCCGCAGGTACACTAAAGGCGTTTAACGTCACCCTAGGGAAGTGCAATGCTTTCACCTCCTGGCTACTAACGTATCCCTAGAGTTAGACGGCACCAGAAGGCATTCCGGAATGCCAGTGGTTGCTACGACGAGGTACCAAGGGATGTGGCCAGGCTCAACCACAAAGGTCCTTAGTCTTGGAGCCTTGGTACCGTACTGGAGCTCTTCTTTCTTGCAATAAGATAAGGGAGGACTAGGATCTTTATTCGGTAGGTGGGAATGATGACCTTTGATTTTGTCCCATTAGGACAGTTTTCTCATTGGAGCAACGAATTCTAATCCAACCAATTTGGTTGGTCACCCACTTTGGTTCGTATTCAAGAGCTGGCTGTAGACCTCTATTCTTCATCCACCCTGGTGGAATAATCGTCGGAAATACCAAACGGCTTTCTTCTAATATTTCTATCCCTTTGGAATAATCTTCTCAAATATCAATCGGCTTCTTCGATGTAATATTCCCTTTGGATAATCTTCTCAAATATCAATCGGCTTCTTCTATGTAATATCCCTTTTGGATTAATCTTCTCAAATATCAATCGGCTTCTTCTTATAATAGTACACATCCAACCCTATGGGAGTGATGTGGAGTCGCAACTCAAATACTAGTAGTTCACTCAGAACTATTAAAAACACTACCAACCATATAGGTAGCGGAGTCGAATCGGAACTCTAACCTTATAGATAACGAAATCGAATCAGAACTGTCGCTAGCGGCAATTTGGCCGATATTTATCCCTACACGCGGAAAGTTCTTAGGCTCCG